TGATTGTGATCCTTAACAACAAGCTTCATTATTTATATTACAAACTGTTGAAATTAAGCCCTGTATCATCTCCTTACTTGACTTGCCTGCATTCTCTCTCTGATGAATCAGTCTTGGCTGCAGACACCCAATCCTTTCCCTCTGATTTGAGGAGGGTTTATCAGTATGGTAACTCCATTTACTTCTCTTCTCCTGCATCCACAGCTCCACCATTGTCTCGACCCAGAAGAAAGGTACACCTTAAGCCCAGCCCAGCTCATATAGCCTCTCTTGACTGCAAGAGGCTTCTCTCTTAAGAAAAATCCCTCCACATATCTTTGCATCTTAGTATTGTCTTTTGATAAAGTGTGCCTTGCAGTCCCTAAGACCCCTAGGACTCACTCACAACTATAAACGTCTCCTTTAACGTCTGGGTAAGATAAATTCCACCAAAAACAAGTTTCCAGGTGAGAAGAGGTTATGAAAATGGTACATTGAATATATTTTTGAAAAAACGGCCTTATTATAAAAGGGCTGAGAAACTGATACACATTAAAGGAAACTAAAGACACATAGCAACTATATGCATTATATGATTCTAGATTGAATCCTGTAGAGGAAATTTAAGAAATACTATACAAACGACATTACTTGATTTAAATCTACAAAAATTAGTAGCTTGGTGGCTCAGTGGCTTAAGCATCTGACTCTTGATTTCGGCCCAGGTCATGATCTCACAGTTTGTGGGATCCAGTACCCACTGAGGCTCTGCACTGATGGCTCAGGTCCTGCTCTCTCTCCTGCTCTCTCTGCCCCTCCACTGCCACATGCACGTGCACTCTCTCTTCAAAATAAACTTAAGAAACTTAAATTGATAAAAATGGAAAACGAACGGGAGATTAGTTAAAAGCTTTATGTCAGTGTTAAACTTACTGAAGGAGATAACTGTGCTGTAAAGAAACTTTTCTGAAGAAATACACAACAAAATATTCGGGGCGAAAGTACATGATGCATGAAATATATTCTCAAATATTCAAGAACATATGTATTTTTTTATATATGTGTATGGGCGTTCGTGTGTAGAGAGAAAAGGAAGTAAGATAGGAGACAGAGATTGTAAATAGCTCAAAATGTTAATCGGTAAATCGGAATAAAGGGTACATGGCTCTACCATTTGTGCAACTTTTCCACACTTTATTTTCCAATGTTTGCTTTAAAAATGAATTTAACTCAACTTTTGAGATTTCTGGCTTTGTTTCCAAGAGCTGCTGCTGCCACCGTACCCATACCTCAGAAGTGTGCATTGCCAACTTCAAATAAGTTGTCTCCTATTTTCTAAAACAGCTGCAGTATTTCCCATTTCCACCAGTGTTGTATGGGAGTTCTAATTTCTCCACATTCCCACCAACATTTGTATTATCTTTTTGATTCTAGCCATCCTTGTGGGTGTGAAGTGCTGTGAAATACTGGCTGTGATTTACATTTCGCTGGTAGCTAATGACATTAAGCATTTTTCATCTAATCTTTTGCTTTTAATGGCATTTTGGTAAAGACAGGAGTGTTTGATCTACTGTGCTTCACTTGAAAGACAATAGCTCATTTTAAAAGTGACAGGAAGGGGCGCCTGGGTGGCTTAGTCGTTAAGTGTCCGACTTTCGCTTAGGTCGTGATCTTGCGGTTCGTGGGTTCGAGCCCCGCGTCGGGCTCTGTGCTGACTGCCAGCTCAGAGCCTGGAGCCTGTTTCAGTCTGAGACTCCCTCTCTCTCTGACCCTCCCCTTCTCATGCTCTCTCTCTCTCTCTCTCCTCTAGAAATAAATAAAACACTAAAAAAAAAAAGTGACAGGAAAAGTTTTTCTTCTAGATATTTGAAAATACATAGAGCAGTGTCAAGTCTTTGTCTACATGTATAGTGTTCTTCTCTACTTTCTGCATGTTATAGTTACTGTGTGATGAACGGACAGTGAAATTGTGCCCTGAATTTGCTCTGTAAAATTACTTCTTGTGTGGAGTTGAGGAATTTATGCAAAGGGCTCCTCAGGTTTGACTGAAAGGCTGAGCAGAACTAAAGCTCAGTGCTTTTCTGTCACCAATGCTGCCTACATCTATTGTGAATCAGTATGTTCCACAGTAGATAAATAGCAAAGAATGATGAACACTTTGACATGGGTGCATAGCATATGTCTTAGAGATGAATGGCAAGATGTTTATTTTTTTGTAATATTGAAAGAGGGAGAGCACAAGTGGGGGAGAGCAAAGAGACAGGGAGGAGAAGGAGCAGAGAGAACCCCAAGCAGGCTCCATGCTAGTAACACAGAGCCCAAGTGAGGCTGGAACTCATGGACTGTGAGATCATCACCTGACTCTAAACCAAGAGTTGGATGCTTAAATGATTGAGCCACCCAGGAGCCGCTAGATGGGAAGACGTTTAAATGGGATTTTGCACTTTCATCATAATCAGACCTGCCAAATGATAATGTGCAAGTTGGATGATGGGTGTGTGGGAAGTTATATTGTTCTATCTGCTCTTGTGCATGTTTAAACATTTCTGTGGTAAAAAGCTTTGAAAAAGTAAAACAGGTTGGGTGTCTCATAAGGACAGGGAAGGGGTCAGGAGGAGACCTGGTGAGGAAGGCGCATTCCTATCAAGACTAGAATTTGGCTATCTCTCAATAAAGAGTAATTCTTTTGACACTGGGAGGGAAACAGGAATGGGGAAATGTGATTGGGAGGTTTTATTTTCTTATGTTTTGTTCTGATGAAAAGCTCCTAACTAACAGCTTTCTAGCTCGTCTATGAACTGTGGCCCAGCACATCTGCCAGGCCTAAGGAAAGTGAAGGAAATTTAAAATAGATCTAAGTAGCATTGGGAAGAAAACAGACTAAGGAAATAGTGACCTAACTCCATTGTTTTGTTCACATGTAAGCCTGGGATAAGTATTTGTAGTTTGAATGATTTCCAGGTAGTGCTGGGGCTGAATTTCTTGTGGCATCAATAGACTCAATTGTGAGATTTCCTATAGTGATCAGTAACTTAGAGAAAGGCATTTCTAGAAAAAGCAGAGATGAGATTTTGCCAGACAGGAAGGATTGAAAGGGATTGGATGAGGTCAATTTGTAGTAGAGCTTTTTATTTAAAATGTTTTAATGTTTATTTATTTTGAGACATACAGTGAACACAAGTGGGGGAGAGGCAGAGCGGAGGAGGGACAGAATCCCAAGCAGGCTCTGAAGCCTTGATACACAAGATCATAATTTGAGCTGAGATCAAGAGTCAGCTGCTTCAATGACTGAGCCACCCAGGCGCCCCTGTACTGGAGCTTTTAAAATGTTGGTTACCTGATAGATGATCAGGAAGACAAGGCCTTGGTAGATAGACAAGAAGTGGAAAAGTGAATGATGTGGAGTTGATAACAGGGGACATATAAGCTGGAAGGATAGGAGGAGGAGGTAAAACGACAGAATGTCAGATTATAGTATTCCTGATGGCAGAAGTATTCAGTGTACTAAGCTCTACAGAGCAGCAGTAACTGCATTGGATGGGCAGTAAAGGACTCTAAAATGAGATTATGGAGGACCTGGGAGACTAGGTTATTGGCTGGTCTATCTACATAGATGTTAGAGCCTCCAGTACCTTCTCATCTCATGTTTTCTGCCCTGGGCCCCATCTCACCTATTGTCCCTCTCAGGACCTCCACAGAATAAGAATCTGCATTCTTTCTGTGACCTTAATGTTCAGATGCTGCAGGGTCAATGATATAACCTTGGACAAGGATACCAGACTTGTATCTTCTTGTTCAGAGAGGGCTTTAGTGTTTTTTTGTTGTAACACTGAACGTTCACTAGGACACTCGGTTTTTGAGTTCCAGTCTCAAGTGGAATCGTCTTCTCTCCAGAACCTTATTCCAAGGGTGGGTAAGTGTGCTTTGTTTTGGCCAAAAACAAAACAAAACAAAAAACAACATTCCATGAAAAAAGCCCCCAGTTATCTGTACGCTAGTGCATATTGTAGAACTCACCTCTGATTTATAAAATGCAGGTCTTCTCAGGGAGATCTACCTTGGCTTCGCTAGGGCCATGAATATCAAAGGTGGTAAATCTATCCTAATGGGATAACTGTCTACACTAAAGGCAAGATCTTGTATATCGCCATTAAATGTGGATAGAAGGAAGTTACCAATATCCTCTTCTCCAAAGGGGAATGCCATGCTTGACAGTTTGCAGATATTGTTTGAGTGTTCAAAGACCAGCTCCATGCCATTTTAGTATAAGGCATCAGTAGGCTGCTGGTACCTGAATCAGATTGAGGAAGGTGGGGAGCAGGACGGTATCGTGATAAGGGGACCTTTGTTCTGCCATCAAGATGACTCTTTCATCTCCTCATTTCTTCTTAGACATCTTAGATGGGGAGGTGGTGGCTGCCTTGTCAACATCCCCACCCCTGACAGATCTAAGTGATACTTTTGCTTTGCAAAAACTGTCACCAGTCAGGCAGCCTGAAGTTCTCTTCGCTGGGCATTTCTTCAGGCTGCCCAGTTCCAGTAGGAAAGCCCAATGTCAAGTTTAACATGATTCACATGACAGATCTCTAAGCAGTATCTATGCTGTTCCTAGACCCTATCCCAACAAGCCTAAACTCTCCCATTCAGAGTTCACCCACCTGTAGGATCCTCTGGTAACTGGAAGCCACTGTAACACTAGCAGTAAAGGAGAAACAGTGGCTTATCATTATTTTCTGAAAACTCTATCTGTCTTTGATCCTCTTCAGATATAGAAGACTTGCTCTGAAGGGTGTAAAATGTTCAACGAGGGTAAAGGAGAGAGCTACTAAGAGGCAGCAGACAGAGCCCATCTCCTCAAACTTCATCAGAGAGGAAATGGGCATTGAGTACATGGTCTCCCAAGAGAACCCCCTCAACAGGGAGACTGGTCACCTTGAAGCAATCAGCAGCAACAGAACTAACACAAAGCCTTGAACTACCCAAAACCCATGCCCCCAAACAGTACACAGTACAGACATCACTATTAGAGAAATATTTATTGGAGAGAATCAAGGGATTATCTTGTGGGATTTGGGGTGGGATATTTCCCTCCCTTGGAAATTCTGGAGAAGGCTTTTCCTTCTAAATCATAGAGACAGATATCTGAATACTATGCCTTTAGCAGTGGTGAGAGTGGCTGAAGGCCCCTGGCCAGCTTGAGGCCTGCAGGTGTGGCATGTGTGGGGCACAGGCTCCCTGTGGGGCACAGACAGGCAATGGTTCTGACACAATAGCTGGTCCTTAAGTGCCACAGCTTAAGTGCCCAGGCTGACCTTGTCTCTGATCTAATACTTGGAGAATGACTGTGACCCACAAAGACAGCTTCTTGGTGGCAGGACTTGGTATTTATCTTGTTACAGGAGGAAGCCCTGTAGTTGAAAGTACGTCCCAGGACAGATTGTGTCTGGGCCTGTGCTTATGCTTCCTTTTGATTTTTCCCAAACCTGGCTGGGGACAAAAGGAGCTGTTGAGGGCAGATGCTATCTATTGCATACCGATGTTCCATTTTATCTTCTAGAGGCTTCTCAATATTTTTCTTGATTTTTCTGAGCTTCTGTCATCCCAGTAAAGGCAGCTCTACCTTGAACCATGCCTCTGCTTTGCACAGAGAGGAAGCTGCCCTTTTCCTGGGAGTTTTCTGATCTTTTGCACTTACTCCTAGATTTAAAGCATGTAAAATAGTGCTCATTTTTCTTCTAAAAGAGCTTTCATGGTGAGGCTGACCCTTCTGTCATAGGGTGTGGGAGGACTGGCTCCCAAGCTTCCCCTGCAGTTCTACATCCTGAGTAGGGAACCTCTTCCTTATGAGTTGGTATGTCCCCAACTCTGCATCCCCTCTACCAAACTTCTGTGCTTTAGAGCACGAAGGGCTCATTGTCTCTGTAGCTGGTGGGAAATACTTGTGCTGGTGCTTCCTTAAGACATGTTTAGGGACCCAAGGCTCCTGCTGCTGTCCCATACTAATTCCTGTGTCCTCAGGATGGATGTGCAGCACCTGGGAAGCTCCCCTGTCCCCACTGGAGTCAACCTGGTTATGAGTCAGAGAGGGCTTGTGAATCAAGAGGGGCAGGTCGTTGTGTTGGCTCTGGGCCCAGCTATGCTCTCTTTGCTCCAGTTTAAGCTTGAACTCCTTATACAGTTGTTCTTTAAGGACTGTTAATTTATGATCTTGCGGAATTGATATGTTTTGTGGATGGCTTTTAGTGGTCACAGGTCTGACCTTATTTACACTCACATTGACCATTTGGGGGCTTCTTGGTTTGCTGGTTGTCAAGATATCTCTAGTTTTTGATTGACACACACCAAGTTCCTCAACCCTGAATATCTCCCTGGGACACTTTGGGCATGGGAATGGGTTCTGGATTCTTCATTGTTTTGTGGTGGTGCATTTTTACTCTGTCATTGGGATTTATGGTCTTATCCTTTGGCTCACATCTGACCCCAGCTTGCTTTGTGGGCTGCTTTGAGAGCCATCTATTGGCTAGCAGTCAGTCTTTGACTCACTTTGTGTATGGTGCTGTGTCTGAAAGGTTGAAGAGTCTGTCTGCCATCCTTAATTTTCGGAGCATCCTCTGCCAGCTCATGGTTGATATGAGCAGGTGATTTTGCCAGGATTCTCTGGCCTTCCTTGCCCACAGTTGGGGTGGCAGGGAGAGAATGGCCCAGGATGGGGCCGAATTTGCTGTTTACTTTGTCTCCATGGAGAGATTTAGAGCTTCCTCTATGGGACTTGAAGACCCCAGATTTAGAGATGGCCTCAGAAATCCAGTTAGTTGAGGAGGGAAACTTTGAATGGGATAAGGACTAGGATTGGGCCTCTTTCAATATAAAGATATCTATGGATTCAAGGACCTTGGGGGGAAGGCCCTGTACCATCCTCCTATGAAATTGTTTGATATGGGATTCCAGCCTCTGTTGTGTCGTAGATTCAATAAAGGAAAGCTCCTGGGAGGTATTCAGGCCATAGTCCCCATCCACTGATGGTGGCAGAACTCTTTGCTGTATTTCAATATGGGATTTCTTAGAAGGAAGGAATGTCTCCTTCATAGTACGCCATGAAATATGTACAGTCTCGGGGAGCCGACCCTCATTGATCTCATCAGACTTTTTGCTCAAATGTGTTTTCAGGAGATTTTCAAGTTGTCTCCAACCTAGAATCCCCACAGATGCCCTTGAATTTTTCTCATGCAGGCTTTTACGTGCTTTCTCCACATCATACCCCATATCCTTATCTAAAGAGCTCTCTGGGTCACTAAACTGATGATCTTTTGGTCCATCCTCTGGGTTGTTTCCCAGATCCTTCCCATTGGCCTCCTCTAGCTGAAGCCTTTCCGAGTCCCTCTCATGGAAGCTTTCAGGTTGGCTCAACCCAACATTTAGAGTTTTGCTACTCTGACTCTTAGAGATCTGTGGGCGTCCATGAGAGTGCTGCATCTCAGGTCTCTCTGAAAAATTCCTCGGAGGTATTATCAGTGATAGAGACTCATGGATCCTGCGGGGAAGGCCCCACCGGTGTTGGATGAGCCTCTTTCTCAGGTGATGCTCTAGTTTCTTACGAACCTCATCACTGAGAGGAAACAGTCCAGGAAGGATAGAAAATGCACCATGGGCCTGGGAGGCCTGGCAGTTAGATAGGCTAGGAGCTGAAGGACAGAAGTCCTCATGGGATCTTTGAACCACACTGGGTAAACCCCACAAATGTTCCTGTTGCTTCTGCAACAAGTTCCATTCTAGGTGTTGAATTTCAGAGGAGATGAGAGACTCTGATTCACTCTGGGGTCTATGAAAGCATACTCCACAGATCTTAATCTGGGGTAGAGGATTAGATAGCAAGATTGGGAGTGGGGTTTGAAGGTACACCTCAGGCTGGACTTGAGTGAGAGGTAGGGGCTGGGGTTGGGGCTGGCTTTGAGGCTGTGCTTGAGTCAAGGGTTGAGGCTGGATCTCAGGTGAGCCTAGAGTAAGTGGATGGAGAAGGACTGGGGATTCCTGGTCTGTGGAGGTAGAGATTCTATTGAAAGTAAAAACTGAGGCAGAATCATCTGAGACATGGGCAGCAGAGGGCAAGGACTCGCTATGCAGAGTTGGGAGACCCCAGAAGAGCTGGATAGGTGTTTGCTGTAAATTGCCCTCTGCCAAGGTTGTAAGATATGGGGGCTGTGGATGCACATGGATTTCCTTTGATTTGTCTTTGCTGTTCCAGAAAGGAAGGGAGGCTGCCAAGTCATGTTTGTCAGCAATTGACTCTGACACTTTTCCTGAAGAATTTAGTGTGTAGTCTGGCCCAAGTTGTTTTGGAAAAGAACCCTTCTTTTTTTCCTTCCATATCAGGAAATCACCCCTCTTTTGGACTTGTTCCTCCAGAAGTGCCAGGACTTCAGGGCTCAGGAAAGAGAGGTTGCCAGGCTCTACAAGGTTGGCTGCAGGGTCTCCCCTGGAAACAGCCTTGGAAGAATGGAGGGCAAGAAACTCTTGGCTGAAATCACATTGAGCCAAGGTAGAAGAGAAGAAGTCTTTGTGATGAGCTTTCCACCAAGAGAAGTCTGAGGCAGACAAGGTTGCATGGTCAATGTCTTTGATTTTGGAAATATGAGTGGACAGCACAACATGGCCATCTGGAGAGGAGTTCTCTGGAATAGGCTTCAGGGTGATGGAAATGGATTTAGACTGAGTCACAGTTAAAGTGCAGTCTGGTGGTGGTGAAACAGACAGGGTTGGTGATGCAACATGACAAGCACAAGTCTCAGTGGGATTCAGTGTCTGGGACAACTCTGATAAGGAGTTGACATCTTGGGAAAGAGTGGGATCAAGAGAGAAGATGGTATTGAGAGACATATTGGCCTCTGGTTGAGTAACAGGGTCCTCTTTCTGAGCATGATATGGTGGGAGATGGGAAAAGGCAAGAGGTTGGGGTGGGAAGTGATCGTCAGGGAAATTGGATTCCAAGGGAGGAAAAGGCTCTGGTGGCAAAGAGTGATCCGGTGGTGAGGGTGGAAAAAGGTCAGCCAAGAGGGTCATTGGGTTAGGTAGGAAGGTGGAGGCAGGTGGTGGGGGAGGATCAGGCAGAGAAGCTGATATTAGGTGTCCTGGAGGGTCTGCTGAGAAAGCAGAAGACAATGTGAACGATGAGTCAGTCACAGGAGCTGTGGAAACCAAAGGAGTAGCATCTTCCAGGGCCTCTGGGTACAGCAGACAATTGATCTCAGCAGTGGTATTATTACACACCTCACAGAAGGGATCTGGACATAACAGTTGACGAATGTGGATGATATCATAATGCCGACCTAGGGGGCTGCAGGAGATAAGGAGGTACAAAGCTGCAGCCAGGGCCAGAGAACAAGGAAAGGAGGACCTACTGACATGCCAAAAGAGGGGCGGCCTGAAGCCTGCTGCCCCTTCACAATGCCCCACATTTATAACATCATAATATGGTCAGTAGCCTTCACCCCAAGGCCCTCATTCACATACCCATTTGTATGGCTCCCCCCTCCCATGACTGGCAGATTACATTGAATCCATACAATTGCATAAATCATGCTCTAGGAGGGATCAGGATAGAAGGGGAAAGAGTAGTCACCTCCTCCAATTAGACATCTGCTTCCTTAGCTCTTCCTCTTCTCTCTGACTGCATTTCCAACCTGGGAAACCAAGAGAGCGGGTTATATGTAGTGAAGGTAGAAACATAGGTGTTATATATGATTCCCTTTATGAGAAACCCTTGGGGTATTAGATTCTGAATATTCCAATAACCATAGATGAAGTCAAATGGTCAATGATGTGATACTTGTTAGTATTAAAGTATTTCATTTACATTATGTCATGTGATGCTCAAACTACCTCTGTGAAGCACAGAAGTCAGTGGTTAGTACCTCAGGGAGGAATCCTGAGTATCCTTGATGTTACAGGTCTTTCAAAAAATCAAGACAGAAAAGTTCTGACCCTTGACATCTCACAGGGCTACCATTGGGCAACACCCATTGCCCGGCTCCATCATGGCCCCATACTCAGGGGTGGGCAGAGCAAGGAATCTAAAGGCCTCCAGTTCTGACTGTTCTGAGGCCTCCATTTTTGGAGGGGATGATGTCTTTCAGCTGACATCCTCAGAAATCTTGGAACTGGAACTTCATGGAAAGGACAGAAAGGGTCATCCTTGGAGAGCTCAGGTGGAATAAGTAGAACCTTACCTTGCAGTGTACCATCATTCCTCCTCCTCTCGGCTCTGTCTTGACGCTAGAATAAAAATAAAAGAATGAGGGGTTGTGACTCATCTCTTACTTTTCTCTCAGAAATGGAGACATTCTTAGAGCTCCTGGGTGGTTCAGACAGTTAAGCATTCAACACTTGATTTCAGCTCAGGTCATGATCTCTGTTCACTGTTCATGAATTCAAGCCCCCTATCTGTGCTGTCAGGTCAGAGCCTGCCTGGGATTCTCTTTCTCCCTCCCTCTGCCCCTCTCCCACTCACGTGTATGTGTGTGTGTGTGTGTGTGTGTGTGTGTGTGTGTCTCAAATTAAACTTAAAAAAAAAAAAAACAAACCTGAGGATCAACAGTCACATCTGTGCTTCCCTGTATCCTGGGACAGAGCTAGGACCCTAGTCTCTGCTCAGTGTGTTTCAGAGGCTCAGCAGGCTTCTATCAGCCCAACATGAAGGCTTGATTGAGTGATACCTCACATGAAAAGGAGACCCATGATCAAATGCTGGGGAACCTTGTTCTCTTACACAAATCCCATACTCTCTAAACCTCAACTAGGACTACAGAATCCCTATGTTTAGGATTTTATCCAAGTCTCTCCACCATACCCAGATAGTCTGTGAGCTTCAAGTGGAAACCTGAGTACTTCTTTAGCCCTTAACTCTGCCAGATCTCTTTTCCTAGAGGAGAGAATGTTCTTTTAGACTTCCTACTTGAGGTGTGTCTGTTCCTATTAAACTCATTTTAAAATTTGGGACTAGAAGGGGCACCTGTGTGGCTCAGTCGGTTAAGTGTCTGACTTTGACTCAGGTCATGATCTCGTGGTTCTAGGGTTCAAGCCCTGCATTGAGCTCTGTGCTGACAGCCAGCTCAGAGCCTGGAGCCTATTTCAGATTCTGTGTCTCCCTCTCTTTCTGACCCTCCATTGCTCACGCTGTCTTTCTCTCTCTCTCTCTCTCAGAAATAAATAAAAAACTTTTAAAAAAAATTTAAAATTTGGGACAAGAAATAGAAACAATAATAATGTCTGTTGAGGGATCCCCCAGGATTCCTTACCTTTTGGATGGATTTCATGTTCCAGGTTGGAAATGGAATCTCTATCAGGTAGCACAGGAACAGAAGAAGCAACCCCAACCCACACAAGATGGTGAAGTTGGGGTCAGTCTCCCAGCATGTTGAGCTAAAGCACAACATAGTTTTCAGTAGGGCTATTCAGAAATGAGATAATCACTAAGCTGACTATAGGTAACTGAATCACAAAGCTGCCTATAGGTAACTAAGATCCCAGTGTACAGATGCTGGACCATATATACTCTCCAGGCTTACATCATAGAACACTGAAAAGTCACAAAAGGTTCTTGAGGGTGGGGGAGGGGACAATTGAAGAGAGTGTGCCCATAGCCCCTCTCCTACCTACAAGCCCAGAACATCCCTCTATTTCTCCTAGGCCTCCAGGTCTCTCTGCCCTATTCTGCCATCCTATTTTCCTACTTCACCTTTTCATCATATTGATGAGGGAGCATGAGGCTGTCTGAGGGACAAAGCACAAACAAGCATACAATCCCCACCACCCAGCAAGGAATATCACATATTGCCCCCACTGTGTGTGCCCCAACTGTGGGCAATGTGTGATATTCTTTGGACGCTCCTGGCTACCCAAAACCGAGAAATGCCAAAAAATAAATGGCTAAAATGATAAGAGTCTCCACCAGTTTACCAGAAAAAGGCTATCCCTTCAACAACCTCAAGTCCAAGAACTCAAAGATGTCTTAATGTTAATGCACTGTCTGAGGGAAAAACAACCTTATCTTCACAACAGCTAGGCCTCCAATAGCCTGAGTCTTTAGCATATGAAAATCCCTTTAGGAACTCCTCTTGAGTTTATCTCCCCCTACTCCATAAAACGCCTCCCTCAACACTTAACAGCACAGCTCTTCTGCTCATGAGTCCTGTCCCTGAGGTTTAACAAAATCACCTATTTGTACCAAAGACATCTTAAAGAATTCTTTCTTGGCCACTGACTTCCCTCAACACCTCAAAACTTCATCATTTGGCCCCCAATGTGGGGCTTCGAGTCTTTTCATCAGGATTCTAAGCCGGTACAAATTCAGTGAGTATATTTTATCTTTGCCTTTACTCTTATTTCAGGGGCTTTTCGAGAAATATGGTCTTATTGGAACACTTTCATGTTGATTGCTTGGATTGCAATCCTCTTCCCTGTGCTACTCTATGGAGAAAAGAAAGCCTTGGTTTTGGTTGGAAGTTAGTACCCTAGGTGGAATGGTAATAAGACCCAGAAACTGGATGCCCTCTCTTTATTCCTGTCCTTATACAAAGTTGTCTGTCATGGGCAAGGGAGAGCCACCTAAATGACCAGCACATCTGCCAATCTTAAGACTCCCGTGTGAGGTTTCCTCGTCATTGGTCTGATGTGATCCCCTCCACATCTCTAGTCTAGCCACTTCTGATTGGGAGATCTCCACTGGGAGACTGCCAAAATCTGTACCTGACTGAATTAAAACCCTACTGAGGACCATTTCCTAGGGAAGTTGGCTGTAAGACTATATGTGTTGGAATGTCACTTAAATCATAATGGATTCCAGTCTTTACTGTTTTGCATCAATGTCCTCTACTGACTACTTAAATTACCAAATTGGGTAGTTCCCCCACTGTTAAACTTTTCTAGTGCTTTCCATGGGCTAAAAAATGGCACTTTCTTCAAGAAACTAAAGCATAGCCTCCACAGCATGCTCATCAAAGGTAAAGTAATTACACAAGATTCACCACCACATCCAGATAGTTTGTGAGCTTGAAGTGGAAACCTTAGTCACTCCTTAACATATAGCCCTTCCAGATCTCTTCTCGTAGAGGAGTGAATGTCTTTTCTCTTAAATTTCCCATTTTAGGTGTCTCTCTGACCTGACCAAACTCTTTTAGAAATTTGGGATGAAAAAGAGGAAAATAAAGAGACACTAGAGGAGACAAAAACAAGGAACCTAGAGGAAATTAAAGCCTCTGACATGTATAGCTACAGTAAATATTAAACACAGCCCAACACCTAGCCAGGTTAACATAGCCTTCACACTAGACATCTGTTTATTTCAGTTCCTATTACTTTTAATATTCCTATTATAATACTTATAATACTCCTATTATTATTTGACTTTCAAAATAAAAATGCAAGGCATGCTAAAAGGTAAGAAAAAGGCAATCTGAATAGACAAACCAAGCATCAGGTGCACATTTGGGTATGACACAGATTTCAGAATTATTTTACAAAAAATCTAAAATAACTGTGATTAATACAGTAAGGGTTATAATGGAAAAAGTAGACAACACACAAGAATATATGAGAAATGTGATTTCCCACATATGTGGGATAGTGATTTCCCAGCTTCTATAGAGCATATCTGATAATATTTTACCAGATCTACACATTGCAAATTTTACCTTAGTGAGTCATGAGTTTTGTATTTAATTGTTTCTGAGATAAAGTTACAAGAAAAAAAATGATCTTTCACGTCTTGTGTTTAAAATTTGTTAGTGAATACTAAAATAGTATTGAATCTAGGGCCAAGTATAGGCATACCTTGGAGATATTGTGGGTTTGGTTCTAGATTACCACAACAAAACAAATCACAGTAATATGAGTCAAACGAATTTGTGGCTTCCTAGTGCATATAAAAGTTATGTTTACGTGGGGTGCCTGGATGGCTCAGTTAGTTAGGTGTCCAACTTTGGCTCAGGTCATGATCTCGCAGTTTGTGGGTTCAAGCCCCATGTCAGGTTCTGTGCTGACAGCTCAGAACCTGGATACTGCTTCAGATTCTGTGTCTCCTCTCACTGCCCCTCTGCTGGCACTTGAAAATAAATAAACATTAAAAATTGTTTAAAAAGTTGCATTTACAGTATACTGTATGCTATTAAGTGTGCAAAAGCATTATGTCTTAAAAAACAGTGCTGTGTACTTAAACTAAAAAAATACTCCATTGCTAAAAAGTTAACCATCATCTGGAATTTCAGTGAGTCATAATCACTGATTACAGATCAACATACATATAATAGTTTAAAAGCTTGAAATGTTGTAATAATTACCAAGATGTGACAGAAAGACACACAGTGAGCAAACGCTGTTGGAAAAATAGTGCTGATGGACTTGCTCTACGCAGCGTTGCCACAAACTTTCAATTTCTAAAACAAGATACAGTGTTTTGAAGCCCAATAAAATGAAGCACAATAAAACTAGGGATATCCGTGTTCCCCATTTCTGAGGCAAAACACTTCTGGTTACTCTAGCCAATGCTCCATGAATTGTGAGTTTTCCAGTCTGGTGAGAACAGACACTGTTCCTGACTCCAAGTGCCAGGTATTATTCCCTTTTATTACTTAAGGTGATTCCTTTCTCATTCTCAAATAACTTCCTGTTATGAGTGCATTCATGCATAATCTGCTGAATACTCTAGTGGGAGTCTGCAGTTTTCTGTAGTTATTTCTCAGTGCAGCTCTAGAACACTCTATTCTATAAAGTCTAGACACTTTTATCTTCCCAAATTCTTAACTCCTCAAATCAGATAATGAACTGGGTTATGCCTGGGTCCTCTCCACCTCTGCTAGGAGCTAGAAGCTTTCTTAAGGAAATATAGGGCTCCTCTATTTGTTTTCTATTTCTTAGGAATTATTGTACTCCTTCACCATTGTGTATCGTTCTCTCAGAGCTTCCTCCTCTCTAGGCCTTCACCACAGAAAAGGTTTCTTCAGGGCCCCTGCCATACTGTTCCATCCACCTTGAATATGTTCAATGAGGAGAAAAGGAAAAGAGACTACAATAGGTGTGAATTCTCCTGTCTGTGGCTTCAAAAGGTTCTATAATCTCCTGTTAAAACATACTTGGCCTTCAGCAGTTTCTTAAAATCTATAACTAAATTATCCTTTCTGACTTGTATTATGGATGGTCTCTGTATCAGATAAACAAGTGCTTGCATCACATTTCTTCTGGCAGATGCCTGCTTTTCCTATTTCAACCTAACACTTGAACATATGAATCTGAGATAGAACACAACTCAACCCATAACAGTATTTAAAGCATCAGTTTCACAAATGGCAAAATCTTATCCTCTCTGTTATGGTCATGTAAGGATAAGATCTTGCCATTTGGGACATGAAAGGACCCAGAGGTATTATGCTAAGTGAAATAAGGCAGACTAAGAAAGACAAATACCATAGGATCTCACTCATATATAGAATCTAAAAAACAAAACAAATGAATAAGCAAACCACCCAAAAGCTGAATCAGACCTATAAATACAAACTGATGGTTGTCCCATAGAAGGAGGTAGGGGGATAGGCAGAATGGATGAACAGGAGTATGAGATACAGGATGTCAGTTATGGAATGAATAAGTCTTGGAAACAAAAGGTACAGCATAGGGAGTATAGTCGATGATATTGTAACAGCATCAGCATCGTTCAGTGACAGATGAGAGGTACACTAGTGATGAGCACAGCATAAAATATAGGGATACTGAGTCACTGTGTATATACCTGAAAGTAATACAACATTATGTGCCAACTATACTCAAGTTAAAAAATAAAGCATAAATCTAACAATTTAGACTTAATTTTTATTGGTGTATATTGAAAATAGTTTACAAACAACTTTTAAAAACATTTTAATTTAAAGGAAAAGGCTACTTTTGAATGTTTCAGAGTCAATTGTCATATACAAGTGTAAAACCAAAAGAGTACCAAAGTAACATACTATAATTGTGAAATAAGTATTATCTACTTAATCGCTATACACAGTTCTGAAATATATATAATTTTATTTTTATTTATTTATTATTTATTTATTTATTTTTTATATCTAGGAGAGAGAGAGAGAGAGAGAGACAGCGTGAGCAGGGGAGGGTCAGAGAGAGAGGGAGTCACAGACTGAAGCAGGCTCCAGGCTCTGAGCTGGCAGTCAGCACAGAGCCCGACGCGGGGCTCGAACCCACGAACCGTGAGATCATGACCTAAGCGAAAGTCGGACGCTCAACCGACTAAGCCACCCAGGCGCCCCTACACAGTTCTGAAATAAACTAAACAATATTTCAAATCCACAATTCTAGCTGTTATCTTTATATTGAAAGATGAGATCCCTTTAGATTAGAATGTTTTTTTAAATAATCTTAAAGATGAT